AGCATTTGTCTAGCATGTCTTTATATAAAGACAATATATAAAAACAATAAAACCAAGCATTTATCTAGCATGTCTTTATATGAGAACAATATTTAAAAACAATAAAACCAAGAATTTATCTAGCATGTCTTTATATAAAGACAATATTTAAAAACAATAGAAGCAAGCATTTATCTAGCATGTCCTTACATGAGAGAAAGGTTTAAGATCACGCTACAGGTTACGTTATAACAGACTACAAGGATAGATATAACAGCTACGACAGGTAAAATTAGATATAATACGTTCGAAGTTAAGATATTTCGCTTCTCGACCACAAAGGGAATACACAATGGATCGTAGAGCGTAGACTGTTCGATAGACGAAAATTAATTCGGTTCTCGTGCAACCTTCAAGTCGATTAATTCCTCTTTGCTAATCCATCCGACTGTCTACGTTACGCGCCCCCTTCAGCTGTCCCTTTGTGTAGCCACTGAACCGATATTACACCCTTCTGCTTTTCATCCCTCTATAATTACACGCGAACTGTAACACGAAATCATTTTCGTAGCCATTGTTTTGAGGTAGCACGCCATGAAATTATTTTCTTGATGGTATACTGCCATTAATTATCTCGTTTTTACTCTAGAACATTTTTACTTTCATTTCATTCACGTTCTTTACTACTTTTTTAAATATTATTTTAGTGTTGTGTACAACAACGTGAATATTTTCTTCTTCTCCATTTCAATTTTTGATTTTTATTTTAGATTAGTGATTTGCTTTGTACTTAATATGTTAATTAGATATTAATTTGAATATTGCTTATTAATTTTTCAAACTTGAAATTAGAGTACATTTAAAAATTTTTAAAGAAAGAAACTTCTAAAAGAAAATATCAAAAATAAAAAATCTGATAGTTCGAAATAGAAAATAATGAAAATATCAGTGTATTTGAATGTGAAAACATGTAAATTAATTGGTAAATACCGGTGTTCCATTTACGAACGCATTAGCGCCTCTAACAGACGATTCAGGAGCCTCGACGACACCGAAAGCCTTTAGTTTACGGATTGTGCAACACGATTCGCATCGGTGCACCAACTACGTTACGAAACACTGTGTTCCTAGCTAGTTTACCAGGGCGATTTCTCGGTGTATGCACTACGTGACGGTGCTGTGTATTCCCGCGACAGCCGATCGCGTTCTGAACGTGCTGCTTCTACGTGTTGTCGTGGATTAAGCATTTTCAATATACGCTAAAGTCTTGATATAGGCGAAACTTTTGGATCTGAACTTTTGCTTATATCATACATGAGAATGATCAGACTTTGTCGAATGTTGAAAACCAGCGAAGAAAATGTGCGAACGAAAGATAATCTCGACAGAACAATTCTAATGCAAGAATAAAATTTGTTATTGTGATAAAAGTTATTGCAAGTAAATATATCGCAAATGACAAGACGTTTACAACAATAAAATTTGTGTATTTTTTATTTTTTTCTTATGAAACTTTTATGAGACTTCATTCGAAATATATTCACTTGTAAATCATGAATGACAAGGCGTTTCGTCTCGCTTCAATTAGAAAAATATCAAGAATATGAGAGAAAAATTTGTATAAAAAGAGAACTGGAAATAAGAAAATTAGCAGCGCAACATTGTAAATAATAAAACAGACTTTTTATCTTTAACTGATTCAATCGCAACGTTTTTCTTCTTCTTTCATTATTCCTCGTTCAAAACTTATCGTCAATTAAACCAGTAAACGTAGTCCAAATTATATCGTGTTTGGTGTCATTTTAATCGGAAAAATGTCAAGAATCAATTGGTAAAAGTTTGACAACGAAAAAGTCAAAAATAAAAAAGTTTTATATTTGCATTGGTAGAGTCTCACAGATATACTGGAACCGCGGATCATGTTACACTTCTCGACGCTCGAGCTTCACGGTGTCGCGAGGGGGCTTCCCCCCACTGATCATTTTTTCGCGCGTATCGCGTGGACCGCAGATCGCGAACTGGACACCGCGACCGCCAGGTGGCCAGTCACGAATTGTTTTTCTCACAATTATAATAGGCTCCTGCGACTATATTAAAGGACCGCGAGAAAGAAGCAACAGCATGTTTCCGATTCACGTATATGGTCTTTACCTATACGTTGAAAGCGGAAGCATGCTCACACTTTTATGTTAGGGGATAGCAAGTTGGTTTCATACCCGCGCCCCTAAGTGTCCCATTTTGGGAACCTCTATTGAGATCCCATTTTTGAGAAGCAGTCTGCTGCTGACCACCGATGACACACACCTTGCCCTCCGCCCCTGCTTAGTAGGTGCTCACCATGGTGACATCCCGATGGAAGCTTCCGTCCCTGACCCAATAGGTGCCCCAAACCCCTGAATGCCCCACACACTACACTGTCCCAGACCCTGGAGTGCCCTGACCCCTGAACACACCCCATACCCCAAAAATGCCACACACCACTAGTCCAAGACCTAGTGGAGTGCCCCAACCCCCAAAACAAACCACATTAATTGTCCAAAATTCAGAGGAGTTTCCTAGACTCCTTTGAATGTCCCACACCCCTAAATGCATAGCACTAATTGACTGAGACCTAAGGGAGAGTGTCTTAGACACCTGGACACCCACATCCCTAAATGTCTCGGACACCTGGATGCCCCACATCCCTAAATGTCTCAAACACCAGGATGCCCAACATCCCTAATTTTTCAAAATCTAGCGGAGTGTCCTAAATACCCCTACACCACCAATTATCCGACACCCTGCAATAAGTACCTCAAACAAATCAGTAAATGAAAAATTGCACTTTCATAAATTAAAAAATTAAAAAATATTTAAACTTGAAATTTAAAAAGTCACAATTTTCAAATTTTTAGACTCGAACATTGAAAGAGTCAAGAATCCAGAGACCCTGCTATTCATTGAAATTTCATGAAGCGCAACAATTTTATCTCTGCATTACCTCATCATCAAAAAATGCACAAAAATATCAATATTAATATCTCTCTTATTTATCCGCCGTTTTTCCTGTCTCTCCAGTAACATTCCACTGTTTTTTTCCTCCTGCTATCGATTTCCACCTCTCATTCCCCTAAACCGAATAATCAATTCCATGATCGGTCCTTTTCATCTTCTCTTCCACGCCACCTCTTAACCCATTTACATTCTCCGCGTTCTCCTCCCATTCTTCTTACTTCTCTCCCTCTCTCTTTATCTTCTCAAACATTTTCCTCGACCATTTTCCATCTCCATCTGTCTTCGTGTTTCTCCGCTTCTCATCGCGGTGTTTCATCCATCGAAAGGAAATCTTCTCAGAATGTGTCTGCACGTTTCTCGCAAACCAAGGATTCTCTCTTTCTCTCTCTCGCTCACTGTTGGCTCTCTGGAAAATCCAACGAAGCATATTGCGGATACAGAGTATCGATCTCGACCAGAGCTTTACGTCCTTCTTCATCGCGTGTGCAAGCACAGTCACGCAGAAGCTCACGCTGTTGCGGCCACACGTCTTCTCGAAACGCGCGGTAAACTCTGTTTTTCCAAGGATTTTCTCCGCGATACGTACCACCGTCGTTCCTTTCAACGTGTTCCAAATCGCTTGATAATGTCGTTTATTAGAGGAATTACCTCTTTTCGAGAAATTCGCAGACCGAGATACTTTTTATGGATTTAACTATTCAGGGAGTCTTTTAGGGACGATTGCTAGGGAATTCATTATAGAAGACTCGGGCTGTGGTTTGGCAATTTACTGGTTCAGCAGTCTTATCAATTTTCATGAATTAGTTTTTCTTGTTAGACATTTGGGAGTTTGAGAATTTATATAATTGGAATTTGGGAATTTAGGGATGTAGGACGATTTAGATGGCAATTTGGGGTTTGGGTATTTGGGGATTTAGGAATTTGGGACTTTGAGTTGGGGGTTTGAGAATTTAGGGAATTTCAAATTTGGGAACGTGGAATTTTGGAAATTTGAGAATTTGGAATTTTGAGAGTTTGGAAATTTGAGAGGTTGGAATTTAGAGAGATTGGAATTTGGAGAAGTTGGAAATTTGAGAAGTTGGAAATTTGAGAAGTTGGAAATTTGGGAATTTGGAATTTTGAGAGCTTGGAATTTTGAGAGTTTGGAATTTTGAGAGTTTGGATTTTTGAGAGTTTGGAATTTTGAAAGTTTGGAATTTTGAAAGTTTGGAATTTTGAGAGTTTGGAAATTTGAGAGGTTGGAATTTAGAGAGATTGGAATTTGGAGAAGTTGGAAATTTGAGAAGTTGGAAATTTGAGAAGTTGGAAATTTGGGAATTTGGAATTTTGAGAGCTTGGAATTTTGAGAGTTTGGAATATTGAGAGTTTGGAATTTTGAAAGTTTGGAATTTTGAGAGTTTGGAAATTTGAGAGTTTGGAAATTTGAGAATTTGGAAATTTGAGAGTTTCGAAATTTGAGAAGTTGGAAATTTGAGAATTTTGAAATTTGAGAACTTGGGAATTTGATAAGTTGGAAATTTGAGAGTTTGGAAATTTGGAAATTTCGAACTTGAGAGCTTGAAATTTTGAGAGTTTGGAATTTGGAGAATTTGGAAATTTGAGAGTTTGGAAACTTGAGAGCTTGGAATTTTAAAACATGGAAATATAGCACCTGAGAAACTGGAAATCTGAAAATTTACAGATTCCAAAATTTAGAATCTGAAAATCTCAAAATTCAAAAATCTGAGAATTCAAAGCTAAAAAATTTTTTCCCACATATCACAAATGGTAAACCACAATAAATAACCCACATCAAAAATTTCTCTTGTTTATTCCACCTTGCCAGTTATTTTTAGCAACAATAACTATAAATTGAGTAGTCGACCATAATTACAAGTGAAACTAACAGGCTTGTAGAAACAATTAATTGCAGTACCGAATGTTTCATTGAGACTGACTGGTTCGTTCAACACAAAACGATGTCTGAAAGCGTTCATCGTGAAGTTACACGAACCAGCAATGCGATAATAATGAAATTTCGAACTTACCTCGATACTGAAATAACCCCTGTCCACATAATCGCCGAGAAAGAGATACTTTGTGGAGGAGGGTGGACCGCCCACCTCGAATAATTTCATCAGGTCATAGAACTGCCCGTGGATATCGCCGCATACTGAAACATGAAATCGGAATCCTTCAAATTTTCTGATTAAATACATTTCATTCGAAAAATAATATGTAAAAGGGAGGACCATATAGCGAGAGTCCAATGTGAGTAGTGGAGAGACTGGAATGGATTATTCCTGGAGTGGATTTAGGGATCTAGGGGGGATAGATATGTAAAATGATAGGGATTTGGGGATGTGAGAATCTAAAATATTGGAAATTTGGAGATTTGGGAATTTGAGAATTTGGAATTTGGAGAATACGGAATTTGGAAAATTTGGAACTTTGGGAATTTGAAATTTTGAGAATTTGGAACTTGGAGAATTTGGAATTTGGAGAATTTGGAATGTGGAAAATTTGGAATTTCGAGAATTTGGTATTTGGAAAATTTGGAATTTGGAGAATTTGGAATTTGGAGAATTTGGAATTTGGAGAATTTGGAATTTGGAGAATTTGGAATTTGGAGAATTTGGAATTTGGAGAATTTGGAATTTGGAGAATTTGGAATTTGGAGAATTTGGAATTTGGAGAATTTGGAATTTGGAGAATTTGGAATTTGGAGAATTTGGAATTTGGAGAATTTGGAATTTGGAGAATTTGGAATTTGGAGAATTTGGAATTTGGAGAATTTGGAATTTGGAGAATTTGGAATTTGGAGAATTTGGAATTTGGAGAATTTGGAATTTGGAGAATTTGGAATTTGGAGAATTTGGAATTTGGAGAATTTGGAATTTGGAGAATTTGGAATTTGGAGAATTTGGAATTTGGAGAATTTGGAATTTGGAGAATTTGGAATTTGGAGAATTTGGAATTTGGAGAATTTGGAATTTGGAGAATTTGGAATTTGGAGAATTTGGAATTTGGAGAATTTGGAATTTGGAGAATTTGGAATTTGGAGAATTTGGAATTTGGAGAATTTGGAATTTGGAGAATTTGGAATTTGGAGAATTTGGAATTTGGAGAATTTGGAATTTGGAGAATTTGGAATTTGGAGAATTTGGAATTTGGAGAATTTGGAATTTGGAGAATTTGGAATTTGGAGAATTTGGAATTTGGAGAATTTGGAATTTGGAGAATTTGGAATTTGGAGAATTTGGAATTTGGAGAATTTGGAATTTGGAGAATTTGGAATTTGGAGAATTTGGAATTTGGAGAATTTGGAATTTGGAGAATTTGGAATTTGGAGAATTTGGAATTTGGAGAATTTGGAATTTGGAGAATTTGGAATTTGGAAAATTTGAAATTTGTAGAACTTAGAACTTGTAGAATTTGGAATTTGGAAAATTTGAAATTTGTAGAACTTAGAATTTGTAAAATTTAGAATTTGTAGAATTTGGACAAATATGTCCTCAGCAAAAGAATCACGCGAAGATACGCTATTATGGACAGTATAAACAAAGTTGCCAGTGGGTCGATAATGGAGTTGATAAGATTTGTAGCGAGACGGAAATAGAATCAGCGAAGCGTGAATGAAACGAAGAAGCGCTACTAGATAGTTTTGGAAGCGATCGCTAATGGGAGAATTATTAAAATTGATTGGCGGTGGATGGACAAACGTGGTGAAAATAGAGTTGAAAGGATCTTAGGTTAATACCGGAATGCTTTTAGCTTTCATTGCAACGAAAGCTTCTCGGGAAAGTTGACGGAGACCGGAGAAGTCGTACAACTACTTTCCTACAATGGAAAGCTTTCGCAGCAAGCAAATAAAGGAATCGAATGAAAGTGGAAATCTTTTAATTCGCTAACAATCTTCGTTTCATATTATACTTGCTGTGATTTTTTAGATATGTGTGTTTGACAGGGTTTTATTGAAATTTTTAGTAGATTTAAAATTTTTATGGGACTATATTTTTGAATAACTCTTTCTTCCAAATTTTCTAAATTTCCTAAATTTCCCAAATTCCCCAAATTCCAAATTCCCAATTCTCCATATCCCGAATTCCCCAAATTCCAAAGGTGGACAATTTGGGAATCAGGACAATTTGAGAATTTGAGTACTCAACTGGACTACCTTCCACCTTATTTAATCTCCTTCCCCTACAATATTTTTTGTGTTCCTACAAACAGACTCACTGCATAAATAAATAAATACAAAGCTTAAAAGTTACGTATATAAATAAACAAACGAATTAGCAAATACACAAAAAATTAAATAAATGAAGGTAGTGCACAGTATAAAATGATCATAAAAACGTTCTCAGCAAGGTTCTCCAACTTCTCCTTAGGAAATTAGCTAGTGCGATTAATCGAGCACGATTAATGCAGGAGTTGCGTGAAACGTAGTCGCACGAACACGCCCGGCCCTCGAGACCCAAGGCAAACTTGTTTGCAAACGTTTCCAAGTGAAATTACGAGCTTCCCGATCGTCGACGACGACCAACAGGGGAATCAGACGAGCCGAACAACCACGTTACCAAACTTTCTTCCGCTAACTTCCAACGAGATGTAACGGAGTTGCTTCCGACATTTACATCCTAGCCTCCTTCCGTTTCGCGATCAAAGAAATCAGTTTTCGCTGCTCGGTCAACATATTCTTTTTAGACGAAGTTTCCGTGCTTTTTTGAAAAGAATATGTTTCTATAGGGACGTGATACCAAACTCGATGAATTTTATTTTATGTAAAGTGAATGCGAGCTTGGAAAATTGATGTGTGTCGGATATTTGCAGGTTCTTTTGCAAGATTTTATGTTTCTGAATATTTGTGTTTTGGGAATTTGGAGAATTTGGGGAATTTGGAATTGGGGAATTTGGAATTTGGGGAATTTGGGATACGGGGAATTGGGAATCTGGAGAGTTTGGAATCTAGGAAATTTGGAATTTAGGGAATTTGGGATATGGGGAATTGGGAATCACGGGAATTTGGAATCTGGGGAAATTGGAATCTAGGGAATTTGGAATTGAGAAATTTGGAATTTGGGGAATTTGAGATATGGGGAATTGGGAATCACGGGAATTTGGAATCTGGGGAAATTGGAATCTAGGGAATTTGGAATTGAGAAATTTGGAATTTGGGGAATTTGAGATATGGGGAATTGGGAATCACGGGAATTTGGAATCTGGGGAAATTGGAATCTAGGGAATTTGGAATTGAGAAATTTGGAATTTGGGGAATTTGAGATATGGGGAATTGGGAATCTCGGGAATTGGGAATTTGGGGAATTTGGAATCTGGGGAAATTGGAATCTAGGGAATTTGGAATTGAGAAATTTGGAATTTGGGGAATTTGAGATATGGGGAATTGGGAATCACGGGAATTTGGAATCTGGGGAAATTGGAATCTAGGGAATTTGGAATTGAGAAATTTGGAATTTGGGGAATTTGAAATATGGGGAATTGGGATTCCCAAATTGTCCACTTTCTGAATACTCAAATTCTCAAATTGCCCTGATTCCCAAATTGTCCAGCTTCTGAATACTCAAATTCTCAAATTGCCCTGATTCCCAAATTGTCCACATTCTGGATACTCAAATTCTCAAATTACCCTGATTCCCAAATTGTCCATCTTCTGAGTACTCAAATTCTCAAATTGCCCTGATTCCCAAATTGTCCACTTTCTGAATACTCAAATTCTCAAATTGCCCTGATTCCCAAATTGTCCAGCTTCTGAATACTCAAATTCTCAAATTGCCCTGATTCCCAAATTGTCCATCTTCTGAGTACTAAAATTCTCAAATTGTCCAGATTCCCAAATCATCAACTCCTCAAATTCGAAAATTTCAAATTCCATAAATCCCACAATCTCAATATCATAATCCCCCTAATATCCCACTAAAATTACACAAACATCGTCTCTCAACGTAGAACAAATAATTCTTGAACCAGTAAAAAACTTCAAACGATCGAAATATTCATGAACTCGAACCCGTACGAGACCGGTTTTATTTATACACCAAACGGATCACTGTTGTACCAATTGAATTTGCCCAGGGTTCCTCGGGAACACGACCACCTGTACTGCAGAGTAATCAACACCGGTGTGTTGACAAGTGTTGCCAAAACAGCGTAGAAACTGCGAAACGGAGAGATGTTCAAACAGCGCAACGGTGACGCCGAAACAAGTGAAACACTCAAGGATTTCGAATCCTACGATCGATCTGCCACAACGAATCGAGACAATCCGGCTATCGATCCATGGAATCAAACATTGCTGACCATATCGTTTTCCATCGCTCTTTGAATGCCCGTTGTAATCCAGCAACAAGTGGCAACTTTGTTTCGTCACGGTAGCCTACGTTCGATGTGCCTGACCATGTGCGGGCATCGACTACTTTCAAATTCTTCGAATTGTATTTTACTTCGAGTTGGATGTATTAATCTTTTTTTGGGATGCGTATGTTAAGGTTATTAGTTACTTTCGCGTTTGAAGGTGTATTCTAATTATTTGTGATGTGGCTGATCATATGTGGGGTTCGACTACTTGGATAGTGTTGAGATTTTTTGTGAATTGTTCTGTGGTTTCTGAGTTATTAGAAATTTTATTTGTTGATGGATATGATGACTGTGTTAATTATTTTTGAATTTGAAGGTATATTTAAAATATTAGTGATATGGCTGAACATATATGGGGTTCGACTACTTTACATCTCTTGAAATTATTCATTCCTCGTTCCTTACTACTCATTCCCTTCAAATTGTACAAATTCCTCTTATTTTTGTAGTATAGATAAGAATTCTATTGGTTAATCATGAATTTGAGAATGCAATGAAGTTATGAATGATTTGTCTGACCATACATGAACTATGACTACTACACAATTCTTGAAATTATTAGAAAATCATTCTGTTTTCTTTCAAGTCCTATAAATTCCACTTCTTCCTGCATTATTTCTAATAATTCTATTGATTATGTACGAATTTAAGAATGCATCAAAATTATTAGTTGATGTGTCTGACCACATGTGAACCTCTACTACTTGAGAACACTTGAAATCGTTAGATATTCATTTTTTTGCCTTTCAACTTCCATAAATGTCTCTTCACTTTGTAATATAATATAATAACTCTTTC